CCCCTCAAGATTATCGGCGACGGACTCCTTGTTCCAAAGAGAAACATACAAATAAGTAGATAATTTATAACACATTTGAAAGAGAAACTAAAAGAAGTGGTGAGTGTATTTTATCACACAAATACTCGAGTGTAGAAAGTTTTCCTAGTTCGGGAGGAATATAGCTCGACAACGAGTTATTATCAAGATCCCTACAAATTGAATGATATAATTATTAGTGCAACCGTGTTTGAATGATAATTACCCATGTATTTCACATATATATAAACTAATCTTAAGATTTGTTTTTATTATTTTCATTGCATGCGTTTGTAAAAATTCATTTATTTGATTGTTGTCATCCGTAATTTTACAAATAAGATTGATTTGTTTGAGTACAAATTGTGTCATATGGGACTCGGAATTATTAATCACTTGTAGGTGGTGTAAGGAGAGACTTTCATGATAACCAATTCTTTACAATCACCTATGCTTGTTGATATAGGCCCACTCATTATTACTTGAAAATCGTTGATTTTTAACACATCTATCAGAATGAAAATATATACATTTATATATGATGTTGAAATATTATAAAGCCTTTATGTTTTGACAAAAAAAAAAAAAGCAATTCTCATAAAACCTCAATTTCTTAAAGAAGATAATATTCGAGTGTGTTCAAGGGAACAATGAAGTGCAAAACGATGTCGTATTACTCGCTTTTATGAGTGAAAGGCGAACTCCATGTAAGAATAATAATGACAATAATAATAATAATTTAAGAATTTTTTATGACTTTTTCCATTATTAACAATATGATCCCTAGAGTTGTTTTATTTTACAATATGGTCCACATATGTGGAGAGATAGTCGGAGAGTGAAAATGATGAGAAGGGGAGGAATGAGAAGGTTTGGCTACTTGCCCAAACATATGGGCCTATCATAAAAGTCCATAATAAAAAACAATTCTATTATTTGTTAATTATTAAACGAACATTTCTTATAAAATCTTGAAAAATAATTATTATTGATTGTTTTTTAATACAACCTTATAAATTTTATTTTATTTTGTTTTGTTTTTTCTAAGTATCTTTATCCCACATTGGAGATATGATTAATTTTTTCGGGACGAGAACGATAAGATTTAATCTCTTCAAACAAATGACTTTAAGATTCGAATTCCGCATATTAATAAAAAATTCATTTGGAGACTAGCTCGTTTATCATTGAATCAACAACCTTAGGGTTATAAAATTATTTTTTATAATAACTAACGGTTATAATTCAATGTGCATTGTTTAAAATATGTTCACTACAAACTACTCCTTCAAATTTACAACCACTTTAAAATCAATTACCAATGATTAAAAGAATTTAAATTATTTTCTTTGCATGCATTTGTAAAATTCATTTCTTTCATAGTTGTCATCTGGCATTTTAAGGTTGATTTGTTTGAGTAGAAATGGTAACTCATCTTGATGAACTAGCCACATCACTCTATGTATTGTAGAAGGATCTTCCTTGCTTGTTTATGCCCATTATTATCTTGTTTATTCTGGTGTTTGATTATGTGTTTGACCCGGTCTCGTCTTTCATTAGGAGCCAACTATCCTGTTCTTTTTTTGCCCCTCATCTCCTTCGTGCTAATTTTTCTTTTTTTCATTAATTTTATGGTGTGGATATCTGTTCTATTTCTTGGTGTTGGGGGTAGAGGGGGTGGTTGCAATTATTATTCTTGCTTTTACTTTTTCTTTTGCCTTTGATGCAGCTTTTTATCTATTTAGATCGATGTTTTGGTTGCCTTGTATTTTTTTGAAGTTGAAGTAGGATTCCAAATCTTTTCATAATACCATCTTACCATGGTCCAAACCAAATTGCGGATCTTATGAACCAAAAGGCGGACTGTGTAGATTGAGGGACAATAATAGTGATCTTAAAACTAAATGTTATGGTTTGCACGGACAAACTAAAGGTAACCACAGCGGCATTCCACAACCTGCTGTTAACTAATTTTTTTTTTAAGTATATTACGACTTATGTTCTCGGATTCTTACCCATTATTAAGGCTCTATAAAATAGGTTTAATTTGACTTATTGGTTACAATTGATCTTTGTATATAAGTCTAATGAATTCCGTCCTTCTAGATGCTAAGAATGTAAACTACAAGGCTACAACATTAGAATACAAAGGTTTAGCATGATTTTTAAGGCAGAGTCTTGTAACCAAGTAAGTTCTTGGATTGGATATAGACTCTACTGATAAGACAGAACACGATGTCCTAGTTCATTGCCAGGGTGAACAGAACATGTGATCCCTGCTCATTAGGTCTACTAATCCTTATCCCCTTCTAGTTATGAGAATTTCCTCTATTTGTAGAGTTAGCCTATGATTTATGATTTTACAAATTTTTTGAAGATCAGAGAACCTAAGAAGTATATTTATCTTTTACAAATACATGGAAGATGCCACTAACTATAGGTTAGATATTGTCCACTCAATCTCAATTTTCACAGTTCAATACCTTCAAAAAGAAGTTCAGTTGCTTGACTCAAAATGTTCAATTGCAAGTGTAATCTTAGGATCCTTCCTTGTTGTAATAGGGGTCACTGCACTCTACCGAGTCTATAGATCATATAAAAGAGAGATAGAATATCAAGAAAAGGTTGAACGATTTTTGGATGATTACAGAGTTGGGAAGCCCACAAGTATGATAAAAAATTCTTTTTCAACGATTCTTTCTTGGCCTCGCCAACTTCAAATCAATTAAAATATATCCCATGTTGTATAGCTATGCCTTTTTATCAAGTCTCAAAGTGTGCTTGGTTAAAAATAAGAACTCATATATTTTCTTTTATGCACTCTTTAATTGAAACTCATGTTGTATTCATAATTATTTTAAAAAAGAATGAAAAGTCCTAAGTCTTCACATTATTCAGTATATTTCAAGCTCTGTTGATTGGAAATCTAGGCATATTGTACTCAATCAGAAAGCTATATATCTTTTATTTGTATTCAATAATGTTTTTTTTTTTTTTTTTGACAAAAAGAGAGTAGAATTATTAGATTTTAAGGGTAAAAAAAAAAAAAAAAAACCCAAAACAGTAGATGTAGTTGTATAACAACCTCTATAACTGAATTTTTTTTTTTTTGTTTAACTTAGAGGTGGTTTTACCCCTTCTAAATCATTTTTTTAGATTAAAATATAAAAAATCTCAAGAATTTAGAGGTGGTTACCAACTGCCCCTATGTGCTAAAAATTAAAATCTAGAGGCACTACTAACGGCCCCTATGTGCTAAAAATTAAAGCAGGAAAAATTATTGTAGGGGCTGTCTTAACTACCTTAAAAAATTATTTTGTAGTGGTTCAACCGCCTTTAAGAAATCGTCTCAAAATTCCCCTACGGTTGGAAAAACCATCGTTATGTTTTAGAGATGGTGGCATTATAGGTGATTTTGAAGCAGTTTATATAACCTTCTCTAAATCTTATAGAGACAATTATAACCACTTCTGCGAGACAAAAAGGCCTACTGAAATGTCTTGTTTTAGTGTAGTGATAGATAGAATACATAGGATTGACTTACAAATATTTAAACGATTGTAAACCTATCAGGTTCTAGGGGATGACACCATCAAGATCATTCTCAAAAAGCTTGCTGTTAGGTAAAATCACCACGCGTCCACAGAAAAATATGTTTTAATGGATTGGATTATTTACTTCAACGAATGTTAGTAATAAAAAAGTGAAATTTAATCTCACATTAAAAATCAGCTATCAATGATTAAAAGATTTTAAATTACATTACTTAAAATATTCTTTATCCGTTTGAAGCCGTAAAATGTTTTTTACGATGGACTTACAGAACTTTCAAACTGTGCAATGTTGTCAAGCTAATAGGTATAGAAACGGTAAACATAATGCTTGAAAGGTCCCTGGTTTTTCAACAAACCCATTGCACCATTAAACATAATTAAGTAGAGCATATGCCATCATTTACATTGAACCACAAATCATTGCTTTAACATACAATCTTTTGAGACTCTGTAAATCTATCAGCTAGTCAGGAATCCCACCATGAAGCTGATTGTTGGATAGATCACTATTGTGGCAATGTCATAAAACCTCAATTTTATCAATTTCTCAACAAGAACAGCACAGGATACAGTAGTGTGTATATGTATATGCAACTTTATACAATGAGAAGCAGTGAAGATACTTGTAGTACTTTCTTGAGAAGTTTTTAATTTCAGCATGCATTGTAGGTAATCTAAAGGGATTATATCCATCCAACTTTTTTCCTGAGAAGTTTCTGTCACCGAAATTGAAGTGATTTACAAATAGAGGATTATTTTTGAAGAGGTAATTTCATACAAACTTCCTCTTAAGGTTTTTTTCCCTGAATCAAGTTTTGAGCATACATTTTAACGATGGAACACGCTTTATTGCTGTTATCACAGATATAATTGATCTGTGCGCCCTTGTCGGTTGAACAATTCAAATTCAACGATACCGTGATTGTGGACTGTAATTTCTTGACGAAGACTTGAAGAGCATTCACTGCCAAAGTTCTTTTGATTAAATCCCACTGTGTTTAATATAAAAATACTTAATCAACTTTACAATATGAATACATAGATGGATTAAAATGTTAAAATTGGAAACTTGAGGACCACATGTAATTTATCCAAGAAATGTAAATAAATTAAAGTTAATAGTGATGAATTGAATGTGTCAAAAAGAATTAATTCAATCCAAAATTAGTTTTTAAGTAATGTGAGATTTTAGAATATAATTTTATATTATTATCTAATAGATCTTTTGATTGTGCTTGAAATTCTTCATTACTGGTAAAAAGTTTTGAGTACAATAATAAAAAAATTATTTCAACATAAAAATTTATATTATTAAATGAGATTCCACAATATGTATTTATATTGCTCTCTAATTTTTATGTACTTTTCTTAATCAATTTATTTCTATTAAGTTCAATTCAAACATCTTTGAAAAGATAAAGAGTTCCATTAATTTGTACCTTCATCAGCTGTAAGATTACCAATATTAGTGGTATGATTGGTATCAACTGCAGCTTTAATGCCAATATCGGAAGTAGCCCCATTGCCAAGTTGCCAAAGAAGAAGAAAGTTAAGGAGAAGAAGTCTGCTAATGAGTATGCGGGAACCCATTGGTTTAGACATAACTGTACCTTTGTTGTGCTTTTCTTGGTTCTGTAAATAAATATGAACGTACATAATAAAATAGACAGAACACCTTAAAATTCATTACAGTGTTAAATAAAAAGAGAGATGCTTAACAATTAGCAATCTAATGTGTTATTCTCTTCGTTTAGTTTTGGGTTTTTCTCTGAAAAAATCGCAAAACCTAGCAAAACCAGGGACATACAAGAAGAAGAAGACCCTCAGCCAGCCATGTTGGCTTAGCCACCGGTGAGGCAGTATCCAGGGACTTCACGCTAGAGGCTTTCATCTAATATGTTCATTTCTATACCTACAAAATAGAAGGACATGGCCACTAATAACCAGAATTCTATCGATCCAAAAACTAACGAGCAAGGATCTGCCACTATCCCTGATTCTGATGGATAGTCTATGGAGTCTCGACCAGCAGAGAGACAGCCTCTAATGATTCCATGTTAGAGTTTCCCATCGAGTAAAACAAGTTCTACGAGTGAGCGATAGAATAATGTCAGTATCGAAAAATAATAGGCTGTTGTAACAGATAAGAGTGGAGGCATCTTTACCATTGAAGCTCAAGCTAAAGTGTAGTCCAGTGAAAAGGAAACAAAGCAACTACAACCAACACCTACATTGACATATACCAAAGCAGTAACACAAATGCATGGCATGACTACTAATCCTAAATGCCAATGAATTATCCCCTTAAAGCCATCTCTTTAGCATCAAGGCAGACATCTTATGTCAATTCAAAACTAGCCTGCATATTGTTTGAGTTAGAGATTGCAGCTGCACAATTTAGTAACACTTTGATTCTAAAATTCTCAGAGGGAAGGCCAGAAATCAAAGATATTCAGATTCATACATAGAGGATGTGGAGTTTAACGAATGAACTAGCTGTAGGCCTCCTTGATCTAAGGCATGTCATGGTAAGGTTGGAAACTAAAGAGGATTTAATCTGTGCCTTGTCCAGAGAAGATCACAAGATACAAAACTCCATGTATCGTGTGTTTAGATGGAATTCAGATTTCTAATTTTGTAAGGATAGCCCCTATGTTTCTATTTGGGCAAGGCTTCATTATCTCCCATTGATATTCTTTAATCTCTTATACTTGAAAAGGTTAGGAGAGGGGATTAGGAAGGTTCATGCATGCTGATGAGAGGATAATGTCATTAACACATCAAATGTTTGCAAGAATTTTCTTAGAGGTGAATGTATCAAAACTGTTACCTGTAAGTATATAGGTGGGGACTTTCAAAGAACATGGGTTTTGGCAGAAAATTGAGTGTGAAGGGAACATTTTATACTATCCATATTGTGGTTTAATTGGACACTCTAAGGAGAATTACAGTAAGAAAACCAAATTGCACAATGGTGATATCATTAGGGTGAATGGGGCAGGAAATATAGTGGCTAGAACACAAGTAGAGACAGCGCTGAAAACATATCAGGAGTAATGGGTTTGGGTGAATGAGAGGGTTGGAACTAAAGCCAAAAATGGAAGCAAAAAGAGACTAGCAAACCAAACACAAGCTGTAAGAGGGTTTGAGAAGGGGGAAAGTAGCAAGGATGAACCAGAATCTTGTGCTGGTTTCTTTGGCTAAGTGTGGCTGCCTGTTTTCCAATAGCGCTAGAAAGGCTAGGCAAGATGGTGATGAAGTAGAAATAAGGAATAGCTTGGGGATACGGGAGTCAGTTCTAATGCAAAACACGTGAACAATGTAAAGAAGGGATGTGGGGAGGATGAGCAACAGGAGCATGCAAAGGCATGTGTTGTAGCTGGGCAGATTTCACACATGGATAGTTTGGTTTTAAGAAACAGTGGGAGTATATAATCAATGGATGATGTGTCTATTCTCGTGGATAGTAATTACTTTGCTAACCTAGATATATTGGAGGAGGAAGATGAGCTTATGGTGATGACAAAGGCGTAGTTACCAGGTGCAGACTTGGCAAAAATGGTAAACACAAAGAAGGCTACAGATAACGTGAATAATGTAAAGGAACAATGTGGAGAGGATGAGCAACAGTAGCATGCAAAGGCATGTGTTGCAGCTGGGCAGATTTCATGTATGGATAGTTTGATTTTGAGAAATAGTGGTAGTATACAATCAATGGATGATGTGTCTATTCCTATGGACTGTAATTGCTTTGCTAGCCTGGATATATTAGAGGAGGAAGATGAGCTTATGGTGATGACAAAGGCGCAGTTACCAGGTGCAGACTCCATAAAAATGGTAAACGCAAAGAAGGATGATACAACGGGTAGTGTAAGTGTGGTTAGTTTTAATGCCTACAAACAAAAAGATCAGCATAGTACTTCCAAACAACTGGAGAAAAGGGCTTCATTGGGGAAAAGTAGTAAAGAGGAAGATATGTCTTTTAAGCCAAATGAGGCAGGAAGTTTGTTGGACAAAGGAGCTTTTTGGGTTAATCCTAGCATATATGTGCAATTTGACAGTGGAGTTAGTAGTGATTGGTTAGTTGATGGGGCTGAAATTAAAGAGTGTCATCTATGGAAAGGGTCCATTTTAGAGGGGGAAAGAAAGCAGAAGTCATAGACTTGTCGAAGACCGTCTTTAGGAAATCTAGAAATTCGGCATGATGAAGTGAGGACAGTAAAGAAGACATTTAAAAACTTTCAAAAATTAGCCAGGAACTAGAAGTTATAGTTACTTGATTGTGGCAATAAGACAAGATCAACTTATAAAGCATTAGGTAACTTCCCTTAACCTCATTAATTATGTCCGGACCGATATGGATTGTGAGGAGAATTAGAAATAAAGACATTATTAACTATGTTAAATTATTGAGAAAACCTATAAGCTGAAATTTTTAGCTATTATTGATTCTAAACTCGGGAGGGGATAGAGTACATGATATAGCGAAGGCTAATAAAATTAAATGTTGTATGCAGTTTAATCTAGTAAATAAGCATATTTGGATGTTTTGGGATGAGAAAGTTCACGGTAGCTTATGAGGCGAGTACATAAGCAAGTAGTTACGGTACGAATGTCGTGCCACAAATTAGTGTTTTGAGATTATTGATAGTATATGATAGTTATAATAGGGAGGAGCGGCAGGAGTTATGGATTGAATTGGATATACTCAACATTGCTAATCGGGACCCATGGATTATGGGTGGAGACTTTAATATCATAACGTCCATACATGAGAAGATAGGAGGGAATGAGTGTGATATACATGGCATGTTAGAATTTACTAGGTGTTGTGATCGAATTGGTATGGTTGGTCTAGGATATCAAGGGTCTAAATATACTTGGTGTAATAATTAATCGAGTCGGGCTAGAATATGGGAGAGATTGGATAGAGTGTTGGGAAATGGGTCCTTCTTAGTTGATAGACCAAATTTAAACATTCAGTACCTTGCTCACATAGTTTCGAATCATGGTCTTATGTTAATTCGGATTGAGAATATAATTAAGGGTATAAGGATGTTTTGATTTTAGTAGATGTGCCTTGAGCATAGTGATTTTATGGGATTTGTGAGACACACTTGGGCGTTAGCGTTGGTGGGTCTTCTATAGAAGTGCTACATCAAAAGTTAAAATACCTCAAGAGTAGGCTTAGAGTGTGGAACTCGGTAGGTTTTTGGGAATGTAAACAGGAAAATAGAGGTTTTTTAGGATGACATAGTTCGGTTAGATTTAAACTTAAGTCAAGGGTGGAGTAATTAATCGAGCTTGTCGCACTTCGAGACAAAAAGACTAAGCTAGCGCAATTTGTTCGGTAGGACAAAGACATGTTGAGACAAAAGGCTAGAGTTAAGTGGGTTTCGAAGGGGATAGAAATACAGCATTCTTCCATGCATGTATTAAAGATAACTTGCATCGGTTGACATTTAGTCTATAGAGACAAAAGGGCTCGGTTATGGGAGATGTGATAGATATAGGGGTTAAGATAGTTAATTTCTTTCAAGATTTATTCACGATTGGACATACGATAAGTCATGATTCTTTGTTTATAAGAATTGGGAAGTCCGTCACGATTGACATGAATTCTCAAATAATAGCAGTTCTCGGAGAAACAAAGATTTGGAGTGCTATTGAGGGTTTAAATTCCTCTAGTGCACCAAGATGGGATTGTTTCACAAAGAATTTTTACAAGGGCTATTGGGAAGTGGTTCGGATAGATGTTATGGAGGCTATTTAGGATTTTTTCAAAGGCAAGCATCTTCCCACGTGTATGTCTTCTACTATTCTAGTATTGGTCCTTAAGGTGGATTGTCCGAGTTGTTTGGGTGATTTTCATCCCATTAGCTTGTCAAATTTTAGTTGTAAGATAATCTAAAAAATTTTGGGTAATAGATTGAATCTAGTGTTGCCAAGTTTGATTGATAAAAAACAAGCTAGGTTTGTTAAAGGGCACAATATAACTAAAAACATGGCCCTAGCACAAGAATTGGTTTTGGGTTTAAAAGGAAAAATCCATGGCAATATTCTGATTCTTAAATTAGATATGTCAAAAGTTTATGATCGGATAGAGTGGTCATTTTTACTAAGGGTAATGATAGAGATGGGATTTAATGAATGGTGATATGATTTAGTGTATAGATACATAAGCAATGTCCGGTATACTATTCCGATACAAGGAAAAAACTTTGGGTTCTTTAAGTCTAGCAAATGAGTGCAGCAAAGGGATCCATCTGTCTCCACTACTTTTTATTTTAGCTCAGCAAGTTGTCTTTTAATTTGAAGAAATATATAACAAAGGGAAATATTCAGCCATATTATTTAGGTAGGGGTGTTTTGCCAATTTCTCACTTGTTTTATCCGGATGACATGCTCCTTTTTACTAATGGATCAAGAGGTTCTCTAATGAGTTTGAGAGGATTGGTTATATTTTACAAAGAACATTTAGGACAACTCCTTAATGTGGCTGAGAATGGGTATTACACGCCCAAGAAGATGACAACTTAAAGAATAGTTGGCATTAAGTAGTTGACGAGGTGTGGCCATTTTCAATTTCCAATACATTACTTAAGAGTGCCCCTATTTACTTGAACAATCCATCAACTTTATTTTCTTCATTTGGAGACAAAACTTAATTGAGAAAATTAGTCTACAATTATATCATATAAGTGTTGTATAAAATATATAATTAATTACTAATTTAATTTATTTATTTGTTAATTATGTTTATTTAGTTGTTGATTAAGTAAATTATTAATAAGTAAATTTTGTAATTAGTGTTTAAAATAATAAATTACCTAGTGGAATAAAAAAATATGAGTTTATAAATACTTTCAAATAATTAAATTTAAAATATTAAATTACATGCGTCATGTCATTAATTTGGTTATTAGTCTAGTTTTTAAATTTTTAAATTAAGTGCAATAGTTGGTAAGTAATTTAGTAAGTTCATTTAGTAATTAATTTATCACAAATTTTTAAAAATATAAAATTATGTGTTAGTATAATTAATTTTTTGTTAATTTAATTTTTAAATTGTTAAATTAAGTACAATATTAATTACTAATTAAAATATTAATTTTTTTCAAAATAGTAATTTAAATTAGCTAAAATAATTACGTTTAGTTTAAAATGAATTCGGATCATTCATAGATTGACTATAGACTAATCGATGGACTATTAAATGAGTGTTTCATAGATGAGATTAATGAATTTATTAATTTTGTCATTAGTCATCTACGAGTGTACGAACGAAAATAAGATTTGATGTCCTTCTAAGCTTACAAAATATCAAAATCGTAGTTATGAAAAACCCGAGATCGTTAAGTATCATTTCATGAGAAATGGTTTGGTATTTGGGTATTATGTATGAAGACATCATGGAGAAAATGATTCGATCATTTATGGTGACAATTCAATTAGTTATGTTGAAAATGAACAAATATTTGATGATCCTCAACCCAATCGATATCACACAATGGTGATGGATGTAGCTGGTCCATCATTTAATTCATCTAATACAAACAAAGACCCAAACCCCGATGCCCAAGTATTTTATGATTTGTTAAATGCATCAAATAGAGAAATCTAGCCTGGTTCGGAAAACCACTCACAACTATCGGCATTATCTCATTTGTTACATCTTAATTCCAAACATCATTTCTCGGAGAGATGTTACGATGATTTATGTCAACTTATGAAAGAGTTGATACATGCTAATAACTCGTATGCCGAAGACTTTTACAGTATGAAAGGATTGGTGAAAATGATGACTTTACCCATTCAAAAGATCTACAATCGTGTAAATGGTTGCTTGATTTATTGGGGGTGAAGATAGTGAGAGAATCACTTGTAAAATCCGTGACCATCCTTGATATCAAAATCATAGGCGGGGATCGATTATAGAAACATGTACTAGATAAAAAAATATACTACTTTTTGCTAACCCTACGGTTACGAGAGAATGTATGCATCGACAACCAGATGCGGCGACAAGACGTGGCATGCCAAACATGTAGTTAAGGCGGATGTCATGTGTCATTCTTCAAACTCTTTCGCATGGCAAAATTTAGATAAAACAAATCCTTCTTTTGCATTAAAAAGTAGGAATGTAAGATTGGGAGTTTGTACCGATAGGTTTCAACCTTTTGGTAAATTTGGACAATAATATTTTTCATGGCCTATGATTGTAATGTCTTACAATTTGCCATCATGGAAATGTATGAAAGAAAAACATATGTTTTTAATTGTAATTTTCCTAGGTCTTAAAAACCCTAAAATCAACGTAGACGTATACTTGCAACCCTTAATTAAAGAGTTGGTTGAATTGTGAGAAATTGGTGCTCTTACCTATGATGTGTCCCATAAGGAGAAATTTTAGATGAAAGCTTGCTATTATATGGACAATTAGCAACTTCCCTCCATATTCAATGTTGTCGAGTTAGAGTACTGTGGGTGAAACAAACATACCCGTAATGTATGGAAAATTCTAATGCTTTCGGTCTTCGTAACGAGTAGAAAAACTTTATGGTTTGATTTTCATGAAAAGTTTCGCCACAAAGTCATCCTTTTAGGCGAACGAGAATGTGTTCAAGCAAAATTCTATTATTACAACATTACTCCTTCAATCAAATCCGGAATAGAAATTTTGCAAAAATTACACCATTTGCGGTTGTTGAAAGTAACAAAAGAGGGCTTTGAAGAGTGTAATAATAACATATCTAGATTTTATGGTTAGAAGAGGCGTAATATATTCTAGGATTTACCTTATTAGAGTTTTAATTTAATTTGGCATAATTTGAATGTGATGCACATTGAAAAAAAAGTCTTCACCAATGTGTTTAATATAGTTATAAATTTCTCGAGAAAAACAAAAGACAATGTAAATTCTAGAGAAGACTTGAAGTTATATTGTTACACTCTAGACAATAGATTAAAACTCTAAAAAATACTCAAAAGCATGTTACACTAGATAAACAAGAAAAAATACAATTACTTGAATGGATGAAACAACTCAAGTTTCCCGATGGACATGTATTGAACTTGCAAGGTGTGTCAATATGAATAAACTCGGATTAGATAGAATGAAAAGTCAAGACTTGTCATGTCTTTATGTAAAGGTTAATACC